TCTTTGTTCAAAATCATAATATTCAAAAACTAATAGCATATTTGGGCTTTTCTCGACATAATATATTCAGGAAAAAAAAATATATTTCAATACAAATCCGATCCCTACTTATAATGGAGGGAAATTGTGAGAAAATATTAAAATGCTTAAATATTTAAAATTACTTTCTCGGATATTAATTGTTTAAATCTAATACTTTTTTACATTAATTTCCAAATGATTTATTAACCGAGTTATTTATTTATATCAAAAACTAAAAATAAAACAATAAATAATAATAATCCAAAAATTTCAATTTTTATTCAAAAAATAATTAATTATTGCAAATGCCATTTAATCAGAAAATAATCAGAAAATTTTAAAAATTAAAAGAAACACAAAAATAAATATAACATTTATTTTAACTTTATTAATTTGCCCCTCAGATTTAATAAAAATTTTAGTTGAAGGAATAATTGTTGTTGATGTTGTTGTTGTACTTGTTTTTGTTGTTGTTTTTGGGGTTTGTTTAATAGTTGTTATTGTTGTTAAAGGTAAAAGGGATTGTTTGTTACAAAAATTATTATTACATTTAACACATTTTTGATATTTTGAAGGGCATTCTCCACAATTTTGTTCAACTTTTTTTTTAAATTTTTATAAAAGAAAAATATTTAACTAAATAACCTCTCCAAAATACATCTCTAGCAATATAACAACTGTCATAAACATGGTGACATGTTTTATTTATTTTTAAATTTTGTTGAAATTTTGAATTGAAATGGAAACATTTTATAGGAGGGGGAAGTATTGTTTCTGTATTACATAAAGAGGTGGAAGAACAATCACTGCATTTTGCTAGATTATGTTGCCTTTTACATTTATTACACCCTTGTACAAGGCCTTTAAATAAATAAATAATTTTTATGAATGTGTGTGTGGATTTTTGAAGTAGAGTTAACTCTCGAATATACTTATTGTTAAATACTAGGGTAAAAAGGAAATGTTTTTTTTCTATTTTATTGTATAAAATGAACTTCAATCCATGATTTTTGTGTATCCTTAATAGAGGTATGAAAATGAGAAACTATATTTTTCTGTCACAAAAAGGATCTACCCCCGACTATCTAAAGTTAGGGTTATGTGAAAATTTAGCTTATTAATTAATAAGTGAAATTAATTAATTAATATTTAATTAATATTTAGTTAATTATTAATTAAATAATTAATTATTAACTAAATATTAATTAATCTTACTAATCTAAATTAATTCATTTTTTGTTGTGTATGGGCGTCAGCCCTTGAAGTGTTAGTATAAAAGGATAGCCAATAGTTAGTTCTCTCTCCCAGTTTTAGTTCTTCCTACAACCTTCACCTGCTCTGTATTTCTTGTGTGCGATAAATATCTTTGTTAGGAAGATGCTACCGACCAAATTGAGTGAAATGAAGTTTGACGAACTCTGTAGTGAATTAGTGAAAGAGTTTAGTGACCATAGGTCTAAATTGTTGAAAAGGTTCGAGGCCTTAAATGTTAAGTGTAGTGCCCTTCAAGACATTGTCGAGTTTGGGAATGTAGTGAATGCTCAATGTGAGCGAGCCGAAATGGCATTGTCGATTGAGGAGTTGAAAATCCTGATTTTTATTTCAGGTATGCCAAGTGATGCAACGGCAGTGCGACAAGTGGCAATGAAAAGTGTTGAAAATAAAAGTGAAAAAGGACAGGCAGTGACATTGAAGGAAATTATTGAAGAGTGTCGGGCATATATGGCCAATAAAAGTGAGGCACTGTACCTGGTCAAGGAGAAAATGAGTGAAGTGAAGAAAGAAATGCCCGAAGTCAACACAGTGGAAAAAGTAAAGTGTTGGAAAAATAGTGAAAATGAAAGTGAGTGCAAAAAAGAGTGGGTCAAACCAAACGTCAAGTATCAGCAAAATATTATTCAGAAGAAGTGTAGTCATTGTGGACGTTTTGGTCACTGGCGTATGCATTGTAAGTTTTTGAGTGATAAAGAGTATCAGCCGAAAAGGCAGTGGAGTAATGGTAATAATCATTCAGATGCTCCATATTGTGCAATTTTGGATATCTTCGATCCATTGCAAAGTGTAGAAAAAGAAGAGTGGATTAAACAACGAGTGAAGTTTGGACAGTTTGGAGAAGTGAATATTGAAATGATTGTCGATACTGCATCGCAAATAAATGTTGTCAATAAAGAAGTGTGGAATAGTATTGGCCAACCCAAAATTGAAAAAGTGAATTACAGTGGAATTGGGTTGGGTGACAACAAGGTGGAGATTGAAGGAAAGTTCAAAAGCAAAGTGAGAGTGAAAGACAAAGACGTCTTTTTAGAGTTCCATGTAGTGAATAGTGAAGTGTGTATCTTGGGTTTGCCTGGATTGAAAGAAGTGTCAGTGCTCAGCAAAAAGCCAAAGTACAACAAGTGGAGTAAGAAGAAGGCAACCTTCAAGATACAGAAAAATGCGTTTCCGAACGGGACAAAAGTGAAAGTGAAGAATACCAATAAAAGAAGTGGTAAAATTGAGTGGCTCAATGGTGAAATTTTTCGCAAAACGGAAAACGCATGGAAAGTTAAAGTGTCAGTGTTAAAGAGTATTGTGACCAGGTCGTTTAAAGAAATTCGACGTAATGAGTGGAGTAATAAAAAGAAGTTGCTGAATGAAGATATCAAAAAGATGACTATTAGTGAAGAAACAATAGTGAGTGAAAGCAGTGTAACTTCTGAGAGTGCCAACAGTGTGGACAGCTCAAAGAAGATCAAATCAAAGATGAAAGACAACACAAATGGGAACAAGTCAAAGATGAGAGACGCTGAAGATGATAATAATATGGAGATGTAGTTTGCGCTTTCGAATTTTATAAAATTCATTTGTATTGGATCAAGAATCAAAAAGTTATAGGCGATCAAAATCTGCTGGCACTCTGCGGTCGTATAACGGAAAAGTTCCCAAAATTATTTCAAGATTCTACGTAATTTCAAAATAATAAATATAAATTTACCCATTTTATTTTTATCAACCCCAATAAAGCAAACACCAACTTTACAAACCCTCGTTCCCTTATTTTTTATCCAATTTAAAGCATTCTTCTCCCAACAAAATATTTGACTTTCAAAGAAAGTATCAGTATTACAAAGTGAATTTTTATGGCATTGAGCACATTGTATATTGCTTAAATTTGTTTTATTTTTTGGGCACTTTCCACATCCTTGTTCTACTAAAAATTTCTTTTTTTATTCAAAAAATCTTTTTATTTTTTACATTTTCCATCAAAATGTCGACGAACTAAACAACTTCTTTCTTCACAAATAATAGCTCCTAACGACTTTTCTTCTTTTCCTTTATTTAAACAAAAAAATGTTTTATCAAATAATTCTTTTGTATTGCAAAGTTGGCCATTACAATGAACATTTAAAACATTTATTTCGAGTTTAGGTCCTTTCCCACATCCTCGCTCGACTAAAAATTAAGAATAAAGTTGAATGTATTCTCAAAAACATTCGTTATTTATACAAATTTCGGATAATTATTTTTTGAAATTTTAAAAACTGGGGCATAAATAATTATCCCAATCATGTGGTCTTAGGTCACGGACACGCGAAAAAATGTTTTTAAAACAAGCTTTAATTTTACTTAAGATGATATAAAATAGGCGATTAGTTAATTTTTTGGCACTTTCGACTTCCTATTTTAAAAATGCAGGTGGATCCATTCCTAATCAGTAGTGATGGTCGGGATTCCCGGTCTCGGTTCCCGAGTCGGGAAATTTCCCGGGTTTTTTGAGCTCTCGGTCTCGGTGTTTTAGTCTCGGAAAACGAGACTAAATTTACACCCCTAATGACGGAAATTTTTTTAACTTTTTGAAGGAAAGGGGAAAGGAATATATTTATAATTTCTCCCATTTGCCTTTGATGGTTGATGGTTGAGTGGTTAAGTTGACTGACTTCACTCACTTAAATATCTCGTAGTTCTGGGTTCGAATCCTAAGGTGGAAATGAGGTTGTGAAAATTTTTCTTTTCGGAAATAAACGTTTTTAAACTTTGATTTTGATTTTAAAATTTTTAATTTATTTTTTCTTAATTTTTTAAACTTGAAAAAAACATTAAAAATTTTAATTTAATCATGAATTTTTCAAAATTTCCTCCTGCGGCGCAGCGTTTTCGCCTCCGGCGGTAAAAAAGAAAGAAATCTGGCTATTGGCCTCCCAAATTTTTCAAAATTTTCGCCTGTGGCACAAAAAATGGAAGAAATCTGACTTATGGACCTCCAAAATTCTCAAAATTTTCGCCTGCGGCGCAGGAAATGGATGAAATAGGAGGATTTATGGCTTCAAAGCCTTGCAACGTTTGTTGTATGGTTTGTTGTGTCACATGTTTCGTGGGACATGTGAGACTGAGAGAGGGTATCCCTTCTAAGCTCTTAGTCTCGACTCTCGGTCTCGACCCGGGACTCGGTCTCGGGGTCGATTCCCGGTCTCGGTCTCGACTCCCGACTCTCGGGTTTTTTTAACTCTCGACCATCACTACTAATCAGTAGAGATCGAGCCTGGCCTGGACCAAAACCTGTGTTTTTCCTGTACCCAGAGTCCAAGCCCAGGCATTTTTTGAACTTCATGGGTCATAATCCACGCGAAAATTATGGCGAAAGCCCTATCCTCCATAGCTTTTTCATAGAAAAAGACTTTTCTTGAAAAATCCGCCGCGAATGATCTATTTGAATTTTAAATACCTCTTTTATTCCTCACATTATAATAACAAAATCCATTCCATATATTTAAAGGACATGCAGCCATATCTCTAACCCAACAAAACTTTACTTGTTGAAAATACTTTTCTGTATTGCATAAATCTGTTTTGCATTCTCTGCATGGAATTTTATTTTCTGCAGAACGAGGACATTTGCCACATCCCTGTTTAGTGTATTTTTTAAAAATTGTTTCTTCAGACATTCCAGAACCTTTAAAAAAAGAAATTCTATCGTCTCCTTTACCTTCCTCCTTCCTTCCTTAATTACCTTTATTAACATCCACAGATATAAAACAAAATTTCGATTTACAAGGTCTACCTCCTTCCTTCTCATTTCCATTTTCTTTTCTCTCATAACAAAAAACACTTTCCTTTAATTTATCTTTTATATTACAATTTAATCCTCTACAATCAACACAAGAATTGTCTATTTTATTTTCATCACAAGTGCCACAACCAGCCTTTGAGTCTAAAAATTTTTATAAAGTTTTTCATTTTACATGGAGCCGGTTCTTGGCTTATTTATTTGCCACTTGGGCGACATTACAATTGACTTTAGGGCTAAAACCCGGGGGCACTTATTTCCCTCAATAGCAGGATTTCGGGTCAATCCCGGCCCTTAGTTCAAATTCTAATATTCAATTAATACTCAACTTTTCAATATAACAATTCGATTTACCACAACCAACAACTCCCTTTCCATCTCCACTAAAACAATAACTAAAAGGAAGATCATTCCCATCATTACATAAATGTTTATAACAAGTTTTACACGCTATTGAAGGACATTTTCCAATTCCTTTATTTACTAAAAATTTTAATTTAAATTGTTAGATTTAATAATCTAAACAACAAAACTTTGATTAGCTTTTGTTCTTTCCGCAAAACAAGGAACATCTCCATTTACTTTAATTTTTCCGTAATTTGTCCAACAATATTTAGGTATTATTTTTTCGTCATTACAATTCCTTGAATAGCAATATTTACAAAATTCCGTTTCTTTATTATCTGGGCATGATGCCTTGTTCCACTCTCCACAACCTTGTTCCACTAAAATACTTATTATTAAATTTTCCTAAATTTTGTTAAACCTTTTCCATCCTCACGTCGATTAATAAAACATGAATCATCCTCAGGGTCATTCGATCCTGAAAATTCATAACACGTTTTTCTCCTAGGTTCTAATTCATCCCAGCCTTTAATCAGGCAAAAAAATTCTTTTTCAAATTCTTCTTTTGTATTGCAAAAATTTTTATGCATACATAAAATCAACTGTATGTCCGTTTCTTTTTCTTTTGACAAGTCCGGACGGCCACATCCTTGTTTAACTGTAATGACAAACATACTAGTTTACCGTAAGACAACCATTTTTTCAAATAGAATAACTTCCATTTATTTTCTAAACAACTTATAAATGGGGAAGAGGCAAAACAAGTCTTCCAAAACACGGTCCAGACAAAACATGGAACAGTGCTATTTTGAACTTTGGGAGGAGTTAAAATTTTGCGAACGCTATTCTGCGAAAAATGTTCAATAATGGAATCAGGCTTATAAGCTCTGAAAGAGAATGGAATGCGCTATAAAATAAGCGAAAAAATATTAAAAAATGTTAAGTAAAAAAAGTCATGGTTAATTGTAAAGTTGTGCAGTTATATGTATGTCACCCTGTACGGTCTAGCAATTTTTCGGAAGAGGGGTAAAAGCGAAAAATGGAAGACGGAAGGCGGAAGGGCCAAAAAGGTGGATTCTGCTGAAAGCAGAAGCGGATACTTCCTTGGTACCTATGCAATAATCTTCTTAATTCTCACAATCTCTTGATTTTGAGATATTGTGAGATAATCCCCTTGTGAGACCCCTGATATCTCTCATAATTTTCCTAAATCCCTTACACAGTGTTTAATCAAAAAACAAAACAAACCTATAGTTTCTTTGATTACAGCATAATGGCAAACCCTTCCAGTTATTTCCCTAGGGCATGTAAGAGCTCTATCTCCATGCCAGCATCTTCTGTTTATTTCACAATTTAACTAAATTAAATTTAAATGAAATGTATTATTAAATGAACTATTTAATTTTCTTGATTACCTGAAATTTTAGTATAATAATAATGATTATTTGGAGAAGATAAAACATTTATTGAACTGTTAACTTTTATCTAATTTGGAGAGTTTAGTTTATAAATAAATTTAATTTAGAACAGGGCTTCGATACGTACTTATTTTCGAAGTACAATACTTATAAACCGGCCTTTGTAGTTAAGAAATTGAAAATGTGCTTATTTGTAAATACAACCTTATAACGAGACTTTTTGGTTCTGCGATTTTTGAATAAAAATTTTTGTAGCGTACTTATAATTTGAAAATTTTCTCCACTATGTACTTATAATTTTTTTGCGTTTCAACTTAACATTTTTTCGATCGAAGCCCTGATTTAGAATAATTAGAGAAATTACATATTAACCATTTAAAAACATTAATTAATTTGAAAAAATTTTATATTTAATTTGGGAAAATAAAATAAGTTATACATTGAATTTCATTATATGTATTCTACATAAACTAAATTTACACAAATGGATAAAAGTCCAGCTCGCTATCTATATGTCCGCAATAGGCATTTCTGCAAAAAGCATTTTTTCTGCTTTCTCCTCCTTACCGTTTCTTTTCCTTGATTGTTTGACTTCTTGGCGCATCTACTTTGTGGAGTAAGTTATGGAAAAAAGTCTAACAATAAGTACAAATAATTAAATAAAAATTTAAAGAATATAAATTTGTGAAAAATTGTTTTTAAATAAAAATTTCTGAGAAATAAAAAATAACGAATTGATTAATAAACAATTAATAGAAATAATCAAAAATTTTTTAATTAAAAAATGCCACTTTTCAACACCTACATACATTCATTATTTTTAAAATTTTATTAAAATTTTAAAGACAATTATTTTTTAAAGGAATTGTTTAAAAAATTAGGGTTTTAATTTTTTTAAAAATAAAGTTTTATAAAATATTTGAAAATTTATATTCTTTAAATTTTTATTTAATTATTTGTACTTATTGTTAGACTTTTTTCCATGACTTACTCCATAAAGTAGATGCGCCAAGAAGTCAACCAATCAAAGAAAAGAAATGGTAAGGAGGAGAAAACAGCAAAAATGCTTTTTGTAGAAATGCCTTTTGCGGACATATATGTAGATAGCGAGCTGGACTTTTACCACACAAATGTACATATTACATACTCGTGAATAGACCCCTGATAAATAAGTGGTGAAAAAAGTTTTATCCAATGAGATTTAATTCAAAACTTGTATTGAATCGCTAGCTGTTTGGATTTGAGCAATTGAGGTAATTGAGTTATTATTGTTATGCCAATTTACATATATGTATTAATAGGAAATTTTTAAAAGCTTATTTCTAATTTTAGTTAAGTAAAAGTTTTGGAAAAATGAAAAATTTTCCGAGTTGAAAATGATTAAGGGTTGTTCCATAAAACACTTCCCATAGAAACTTTACAAATTTATATAAATAAAAAATCATTGGCTGTAGTGTAGTGTACCGGTGGTAAAAGTTCGGGAGGTGACATATGTCATTCGATTCGTCTCGACGAGCTGAGTCGAATGGTACCACTCCCTATTTTAGGAAATGATTCTGGACCAAGTTATAGGTCCCGAAAAATTGAAAAACCAAAGGGGGGAGTAAGCTCGATTTTGGGGTGAAAAATTCGAATATGCAAACAATAGCTCATTCGAAAGAGCTCGTCGAGCTGAGTCGAATGACACCAAAATCAACGAAATCTGACTTGATTTGACAAAGTTATGCTCGTTTACTTTAGCTCCTTACCTATGGTGTCCATGGAGGTTTTTGCTGCTACGGAGGCCCCAGTTACGTCCAGAGCAAGGAAATATGAATAGGTTTATGTTACGAGCCCAGACCCAGCGCCCGTAGACTCCCCGCGAGGCGCGTGCCGCAAAACTCCGCGCGAAGCGCGGAGTTTTGCACAAGCGCCTCGCCGACGCCCCATAGGTATACGTTGTTTGTTTTTGTGTCGTAACTTTGTCTAATTTTGTTCAATCAAGCTGATTTTGGTGTCATTCGACTCAGCTCGACGAGCTCTTTCGAATGAGCTATTATTTGCATATTCGAATTTTTCACCCCAAAATCGAGCTTACTCCCCCCTATGGTTTTTCAATTTTTCGGGACCTATAACTCGGCCCAGAATCATTTCCTAAAGTTAAGAGTGGTACCGTTCGACTCAGCTCGTCGAGACGAATCGAATGACATATGTCACGTCCCGAACTTTTACCACCGGTACACTACACTATATCCAAAATCATTAAAAATGCCACAATAGTAAAAGAAATAAAGTAACAATTGTATTAATTATAATTTGGGCCCGATTTTTCGCAAATTAAATTCTTTTGTGAATTTATTTTGGTCTGTATTGGAGATAAAAATAAACTCTTAGCTTGTTTTGAACCTTTTAGAGGGAATGGGGCTGCAATTTACATAACTTGTATTTTTCAAAAGTTTGAGGTCAACATCGAAAAATAACTAAAATTCTGTCAAGTTTTAATTTAAAAAGGAAAATTTTTGAAGAGATATCATTCAAATTTTTATTTATTGAAAGTACTCTTGTTTGGCGAATCTTCGAATGAAATCTTTTTTCTGTGAATTTCCATCATTTCAGTATATTTTCATATTTTCAGTGAATAAACATAATCAGTAAATATAGATATCATTTTCTAATTTTTGCAATTCTATTCCGACCCTCAATAATAGCTAATGGCCCTGTCACATTAAAATATTTTTTTCAAAACATAAAAATCAAGAATTACCTCAACATATTGAATAGCCCAAAGATTGATAAATTAGGTCAAATCGAAATTTCAAAGTTTGTTTTTGTGGCCAGGAATACCATATTAATTATTTGACCAATTTCCAATTTTGAAGTTAAACTTTTAACAAAACTATCACATAAATATTCTTTTTTCTTGAATATTTTTAGTTTTATAAACTACTATTTTAGATTTACATTTTTGCTACAGAAGAAAATATTTTGATTTGTTATTTTTGCCTGCAAAACAACAGTTCCTCCTTAAGAATTATATTTATTATCCAGTATTGAAAGTCAAATTTTATGCTCACTCTTTTCATCCCAACCAAGTGCTCCATAATAAAAATTAATTAAAATATTTTCATCAAATTTTGTAACTTTTCCCTTTACAGATATATATTGCCCTTCCTTTAAATTTTCAATCTTTGTTATGTGTGGCGGAAGTGGTCTGGAATTAATGTATATTGAAGACATCTTTTTACATTATTACCGAATTTAACATTATCTATATTTCCTTTTACCTAAAAGAATTTTTAGTCGAATTTATTTTTATTTATATGTAGATTTACTATAATCCAATTAACCATCCAGGGAGGAGCTACATAATTATATTTAATAAAAGTTTTTCTATCATTGAAGTAAATCTTGAAGTAAGATACAATGATCTTGATGGTGGTCTTGATGGTGGTAGTGGATTGAAAAAGCCTCATTTTTCATTGTAGTTTTAATGAAAATAACTTTAAATTAAATTAATTTAAAAATGGCTGTTAATTGCTGATAAAATAGTCCTTTTTGTATACAATTTTATTCTAAAAAATTGATGATTAATTAAAAGTTATCTGATCAAATTATTTTAATTTTTATCGTTAAAATATGAATTATTTATTTACATATTTATTTAAATTAAATCCAAAAAATTATAAATTAATTTAGTTGTGTGTGGTCAATGGAAATTAGTTGGAAATTTATTCGAAAAAATTTAAAATTACAGAATCAGCTTTTTACTAAATATTTTATGAATCGTCCAAATATTTTATATTAAAATTATCCTTCTTTGATATAATATATAATAAATCACCTTTTTCGATCGAAAAAGGTGATTTAGAATTTTTTTGGGAAAAATTTTGTAGTGAATGAGAGGGAAAAATGTTTAAAGGTACTTTCCTGTTATCGGCCCTCATTTGTTTTCCTTTTTTCTCAGTCTAGTTCTGTACAGAATGGTCAGATTTTCTTTCTTTCTCAAATTCACTCCATTTCCCGGTGGCAACATTAACAAAGAAAAGATTCCCACACACGAAATGAAAGTTCCCAACAAATGTTCAATTTTCTGTGTATTCGTCGTGTCTTTAGGATTTTTCCGCAACTTTTCTTCATTAACGTCTCATTTGAAGGATATAGTGTAGTGTACCGGTGGTAAAAGTTCGGGATGTGACATATGTCATTCGATTCGTCTCGACGAGCTGAGTCGAATGGTACCACTCCCTATTTTAGGAAATGATTCTGGACCGAGTTATAGGTCCCGAAAAATTGAAAAACCATAGGGGGGAGTAAGCTCGATTTTGGGGCGAAAAATTCGAATATGCAAATAATACCTCATTCGAAAGAGCTCGTCGAGCTGAGTCGAATGACACCAAAATCAACGAAATCCGACTTGATTGGACCGAGATATAGACCCCTAAAAATCGAAGATCCAAAGGGGCGATTTTTGGAATAAAAATTTTTTTATACAATTAATTCCTCATT